GAGAGAGAGAGAGAGAGAGAGAGAGAGAGAGAGAGAGAGAGAGAGAGAGAGAGATGGAGAACAAGAGGGGGAAATCGAAGGAGGAGAGCGATGACGAGGATTGTCCAGAGTTGGTGGAGGATGACATTACAGATGATGATTGCCCGGACCTAGTGGTGGTGGATGATACGGACGAAGATTGCCCAGATTTAGTGGCAGATGACATGTCCGATCTGGATACCGATGATGATGATGATGATGATGATGATGATGATGATGTGGATATCGAAAAGGGTAAACGGAAAAATAAAAACGACCCTATGTCTCAAAAGAACTCCCGAAAAAGAGGACTGGAGGGGTTGACGTTTGATAAAGAAAATGGGGGCAGGCTATTTGAAGGAGGTGCCTTGAAGAGAGGGTTTTTGGTTGCGGGCTCCTCCTCCTCCTCCTCCTCCGCCTCAATGCCATCCTCCTCATCATCGTCACTGCCATCATCATCATCATTTCCATTTCCATCCTCCTCCTCCTCCTCCTCATCAGCCTCATTACCAGCAATGCCAACGTCTTCGTTCCCCTTTTCGTTTTCATCCTCGTCTTCGGCGTCTGTAATTGAAGGTGGGGGGTACACTGGCCCATATTATCGCAGCAGTAGGAGGAAGAGAATCCCTAGAGGGTGTCCACTGAAGATCAGACAGAAAGTTGCGGATGACCAACTTAAGGCAAAGACGAGTTGTATGTGGAGTGGTGAATGTGGGAAAGGGGTGGAGGAAGGGGGGGCGGGGGAGGAGGAGGGTTCCGCTGCTGGGGAGATTAGGAGCAGCAGCGGGAACCGGGGGGGAGGGCCGGGGAAGGAGGGAGAAGGGGAGGAGGGGGAGAGGAAAAGAAGACAGGAGGGGAGGCGAGGGGGTCGGCGCGCTGGGGATGGAGGGGGTGCGGAGAAAGTGGAGGTGGAAGTTGTTCGCGATCTGGATGCTAGGAAACAGATGGAGAGAGAGAAGGAGGCGGGGGTTTCGTTAGGAGGAGGAGGAGGAGGATTGGCGAAGCGAGCAGGGGATGGGAATGAAGAGGAAGACGAAGAGAGGAAGGTGTTTGGCAGATGCAGAGTCTGCAGAGAACAGGGGAAGGGAGCGGGAGGAGGCGGAGGGGGAGGTGATCGGCATACTCAGAAGGACGGAGGAGCGGGTCGGATGATGATCAGAGGCAATGTGAAACGACTTGAGTTGTCGTGTAGTGAAGGATGTTTTGTTGCTTATCATTATCCGTGCTGGAAGGAGGTGGAAAAGAAAGTGCGAGAAGAAAGACCGGAGTTTAAACTCAGTCCCGGTGCTCGGTGCATCACTCCAGGTATGCTTCGAAAAAAGCAAGAGAGAAAATCCAGCGCCACGTCATGGACGTCTGTGCGCTTTTTTTTTCCCTTCGTTTTTTTGACAAAGGACCGCGGACCGCGGATGAGATGTTAATTTGAAGATCAGTGCTTTTCGTTTTTTATTTTTATTTTTCGTTTCTGTTGTCGTTTGAATCGGTTTGATAGCTCACCTTTCCCGTCGAATCTCATTACTCAAGTAATTATGGGTTCCTGCATTATTATGCTTAAAGACAAATAAAAGTGTTGGTATACCCACGAACTGCTGGCATTCGATCACAGCCTAAAAACGTTCTGTTCTGACACTGAGGACAAACTCACACTACGGTAGTACTTTCCTGAATGTAACTGGTCGCAATTACGGCCGGACCAGGATGCATCTGACTGCAATCACGTCCAGAGCTCAGTCAAAAAGTTTCTAGCGTGAGTGTGCCCTGGGTGAGGTGTCGAACACTCAACACGATCTCTAGCCAGGTTGTCAGTAAAATCCTTTTTTTTTTTTTTTTTTTTTTTGTAAAATCATTCTGAGTGACCTGGGGCCGGTCATTTCAATGATGATTTAGTATCTCCAGGCCGTCGCCTTTTTTGTCAAGATAAAGGTTTATTTAAAAAAAGAAAAGTGCTGTATGCGTTCTGTATCGATATTGCATCTGGTCCGGAGTACATCGGCCGGCCCAAACAATAAAAAAGAATGGAAAGATCGTAGATCCGTTCGATCCGTTCGCGCTTTTAGAGATAAGCGGTCGTCACCTTCTTTCTTGCCGATCTTTGCATTCTTTTTGTTTTTGTGTGAAAAACGCATGTAATAACAGAAAAACGTAAACAAACGCACGATGATTCTCCGCCGTTGATCGGGTCTTCTGGTGTGTGCCCGTAGCCTCTTTTTTTTTTCTTTTTTTTTTTTTCTCCTTTGTGAAGCACTTGCCCTATAGGCCGTAGCCATTCTTATCCTTATTGCGATTGGCCTGATGAGGCTACGACTGGCAGTCTTTCCTTTCTTTTTGCCTTTGTGTGAAAAACACATGATGCTTCGATCTAACGTAAAGAATCGTATTGAAAAAAAAAAACCGTAAACAGACGCACGGTGGTTCTCCGCCGTTGATCGGGTCTTCTGGTGTGTGCCCGTAGCCTCTCTTTTTTTTTTTTTTTTTTCGCCCTCTGTGAAGCATTTACCCTTAGCCCGTAGCCATTCTTATCCTTATTGCGATTCGCCTGATGAGGCTACGACTGGCAGTAGCCGAAACGACCCGTCGTAGGGGATTTGCCAGACGTCACTGCTCTCCGGTGCGTCCACTACGATCTGGGCGGTGAGAGCGGTACGGTGGCCATAGCTAGCTCTGCTTCCTATGACACGCAGCTCGGTTCTTCATCATGTACTTGCCTTCTGCAGTTTCTTTTTTTTTTTTTTTTTTTTGGAGTTCCATTATTTCGAGATTGCTTCGAATATTTTGCGTTGAGCTGTAATCACGGTTATGTGTTGATTGCGTGTGGTTTGCTACGCTGACCTTGCTCCCTCCTTGTCACACATTTGGGTCAGGTACCTGGAGCCAATCCGTTTTTTTTTTTTTTTTTTGCCCCCCCTCTGTGAAGCATAAGCCTTGGAGCCCGTAGCCCGTTCTCATTCTGATTGGGTCGGGAATATAGCGCACGTGATTGCCTTTGCACACAAGTCTCTCATAGGCATACACGTAACTCACAACAACTGTCTGGCACATTCATGTTTTTTTTTGTTTTTTTTTTTGTGCAGTTGTGTACAGCGAAGATGACAATGCTCGCCCACACACTTGGGTCAGGTACCTGGAGCCAATCCGCTGTAATCACGGTTATGTGTTGATAGCGTGTGGTTTGCTACGCTGACGTTGCTCCCTCCTTGTCACACATTTGGGTCAGGTACCTGGAGCCAATCCCTTTTTTTTTTTTTTTTTTGCCCCCCTCTGTGAAGCATAAGCCTTAGAGAGCCCGTAGCCGTTCTCATCCTGATTGGGTCGGGAATATAGCGCACGTGGTTTGCTACGCTGACCTTGCTCCCTCCTTGTCACACATTTGGGTCAGGTACCTGGAGCCAATCCGGTTTTTTTTTTTTTTTTTTTTTGCCCCCCTCGGTGAAGCATAAGCCTTAGAGAGCTCGTAGCCGTTCTCATCCTGATTGGGTCGGGAATATAGCGCACGTGATTGCGTTTGCACACAAGTCTCTCATAGGCATACACGTAACGCACAACAACTGTCTGGCACATTCATGGTTTTTTTTTTCTTTCTTTTTTTTTTCCCCTTCTTGTGGGGTTGTGTACAGCGAAGATGACAATACTCGCGCACACATGTGCACATGCTTAAAAAAACAGACAAGATCGTGGAAATTCCCGAAAATGTGTTTTGCTTTATTCGCGTGTAGGAGGTGATCATTTGACTCGGATCCTTTTTTTTTTTTTTTTTTTTGAAATTTTCGCAGTTGTAGATAAAGATTGACATGCCAATACTAGCAACAGAAAAATAGAATTAAGTAACTGCATGTGAATTTATTGTTTGAATTTGTTTCTGCTGTTTCCTGGAAATTTTAAAATAAAAAAGATAAAAAATCCTAAATACAAAGGTGCGGGAATCTCGAACTTTCAACACAGAGGGGATGAGGTGGAGGAAGTGAAAGAAAAAGGGAACGGAAAGTGAAGGTTCTCCTCGGTTTTAATGAAGTTTCTCTTCTCCTATCTCTTTCTCTCTCTCTCTCTCTTTCGATCTCTTGTCTCTGTCTTCTTTGCCCTTTTTCTTCGTCGTCTTTTTTATTTTCGATTTTGTTTTTTAATTTATTCATGGTTTTTTCCATTGATGTCTCTTTGATCGTCATTGAGATCCGAGAAATCTGACATTAGGATGTATCGTGCGATTTGAAGGGGAAAGAAAGGGAAAGTGNCCATTGATGTCTCTTTGATCGTCATTGAGATCCGAGAAATCTGACATTAGGATGTATCGTGCGATTTGAAGGGGAAAGAAAGGGAAAGTGCTTCTTGCGAGGTTCAGCGGGAGATGGTCCGTGTGATGAAAGAAAGAGAGGCGTCTAGGGAGGAGTTGAAAAGAAAGAAAAAAGCATGAAAACGATGTTTAGGGCTCAGAATTGCAGCGAGTGTTTTAATCATCTGCGTCCAGCGGAGGTCGAACTCGGGTCTGTATTTCAACAGTTCAGCTCAGGGGTGTACCGACTGTGAGCAAGACCAGTTGGCTTGTCGTCCGTTCTCTCTCCCTCTTATCCCGTGTTCACGTTTTGGGTACAAGGTCGATTCCCGAGATCTCCGAGCTCATTGCGTATCTTCTCATGGGATCGGCGTCACTTTGCAAGTGGGAAGAAGATTAGTTCGGATAGGGCATTGTAACATTTATTTCACATTTAGTTAACACTATGCAAAGAAGGGAAAACATAGGAGTGCAGATTTATCCTGAGAAGAAAGAAAATGATGCCCACAGAACTCCTGTGTCTTCGGATGTCAAGAAGTGGAATATATCTGCCGAGATGTGATCATGCGAGGTTGTCGTTTTGTGTGACGTATTCGCGGAAATGGCACTTTCATGATACGCGAATGTTTGTGTGTGTGTGTGCGTGTGTGCGTGTGTGCGTGTGAAGGTGTGAGCGTGTGTGAGCGTGTGTGCGTGTGTGTCTGCGTGTGCGTGTGTGCGTATGATTGTGTGTGTGTACTTCTGTGTGCGTATGATTGTGTGTGTGTACGTGTGTGTGCGTGTGCATGTGTACTAGTGTGTGTGTGTGTGTGTGTGTGTGTGCATGTGTACTAGTGTTTGTGTGTGTGTGTGTGTGTGTGTGTGTGTGTGTGTGTGTGTGTGTGTGTGTACTCTTGTGTACGAGAATGCGTGTGTGCACACAGAGAGAGAGAGAGAGAGAGAGAGAGAGGGTATTGGAGTTCTTAGTGTACTCGACCAAGTCGAATAAGGAAGGTGGTCGAACAACTGGTCTTATATTATACTTCGTCTTCTTCTGTCTCGGCAATTGCGCTAATCTGAAAGTTCGGTTCGCGCAAACAGCATCGCGCGACGATCCCGCATTTTTTTTTTTTTTTGGAAAGCATTTGAAACTTCAATTATACACCAAGGGGCGAGGCCGGGGACCTCACAGTTCAACCCGGAGTCGATCCCGCATTTGAGCTCGCGGCAACGATGTTTCAATTTTTTTTTTCGATACGTGAAAAAACGTTTTCAAATTGGTAGGGTGGAATTTAGCGTTCGCTTTATCGAAAACGCCGATCAACTTTTTTGGCAGGATCGTTAGCGGGGAGCTCACGGCTCAGGATCTTTAGTCTAATATTAGTAGGCGGCACCTTACGGACCTCGCTGTAAGCCCTTTTTTTTTTTTTTTTTTTTTTTTTTTCTTGGTTTGGGAAAATTGCATCTGTATCCCGTAGTGTGTTGGGCCCCACGGATTTTTTTTTTTTTTTTTTGGTTTGGGAAAATTGCATCTGTATCCCGTAGTGTGTTGGGGAGCACGGAGTTATGCTCATACCCGCAAACCGGGCAGGCAAAATTGGGTATGCACATAATTTGCCCGGTATGCGCATCATTTCAAGCCCAATTTTTTTGGGGGGGTAACTTCGCCGCAGTCACGAAAACAGTTTGAAAATGCACTTCAGGCATTCCCCCGAACGCAACGCACCCCCACGTGACCCCACCGGACCCGAAACCTAGGTCATGGCCCTTTTGCCTCAAGTGCATTTTCAAACTCAAACCCTGACTGCTCCGTAGTTTTCTCTTTTTTTTTTTGGGGACTGTACAGATCCATCATGTAGCGGCGGCCGACTTCTTGTTTTTTTTTTCTCTTTTTTACGTGGCCCGATGGACCTCTGTTCTTTTTTTTTTTTAATGTGACGTCATTTTTTTTTACTTGACGTCCTTTTCTTTCTTTTATAATAAAAGAATACGTGCGTCATTTTCGATTGCATATATACGCAGGACTAAGGACCTCGCTTCACTACTCTCCAAATGTGCAAAA